TATGCTTTACCGAGGGTTTGGTCTCAAAGTTGTGAATTCCTCTTTCTTGGAGTAGTTTTCACTTTTAATAATTAAAATTTATCATGACTTTTTATCACGACTTTTTAGATTAAAAAAAATTATGCTTAATAAATATAAATACATTTCAACTATTAAAAGTGAAGAGATAAATTATTAAGATTTTGTGTAAATGTGATGCATAAGACTTGATATGTAAGTGGATCCCTACTTTTATAACTATATCATTGAACAAAGGTATTTATCAATCGAACTTGTAATAAAACTTAGGTGAACAGTCACCCTTTGAAACTTAGGGTTTCTTTCTCTCACACAACTGTGGTTTAGTCTTAGAGCTGTGAGTTCCTTTTTTCTGGAGTAGTTTCTTCCTCTTCTTTTTGTTATCTCTAAGGTTGTAGTTCAAAAAGAACATTTGTTAGGGTTGTTTTGAAGCAATAAGCAAACTATGGGTGCAAGGTGTAGAGTAGTCTACAATAGTAGATGGACTAGCGGTGTGAAAACTATGGTGATCCATAGACAAGTCAAGGATAGAAGTTGGCTTATGACCAGTAAGGCAGTTAGGCTAGGTTTGATTGGAAAAGAACTTGGATTTTGGTTAGTTTAGATCTTCTCATCTATGGAGAAAGAGGGAGAAATCTCTTTCAAGAGTAAAAGGTGATTACTTTGTATTTTTGATCTCCAATCCGCTTTTGATATTATTTATAAGTTAAGAGTGGCCTTACATCTTATAATGATGAGGGGCCATAATCCACTCATTGGCTAAGTTTCTTTTGAATAATGGGACTACAATAAGTGGGATGGGGATTGTTGTTTGCCAAAACCTTACTCTCCCAAGGAAGGCAATACAGCAACTGGGATTGTCCAAAAGCTCTAGATGATCATAGTAACTTTCTTTCTACGCTAATAGCTCTATGTATGTTCCTATAACGATTACCAATGTAATCTATAGATGTAGATGACAACTTAATTGTCTATTTTCATCACAAATATAGTTTAAGTTTATATATCTAATGGTATGCTTCCATTTTGGCTAATTGCCTTGATATAGAGATTCTTATATAATCTCATCTTTTTATATTAACGAAATCTCTATTTATTCAAGGAGTTGTGACTTGGTAAGTGGGTTTGCTCTCCATCTTATCAACCAAGATTTTATTCCTTGAGAAGACCAATAAAAAGGTAATTCTTTATAAATTTTCTAATCCTTGCATGAATGGCCTACCTTTGACTATTCTGGAGAAGGATTAGTCTTAAATTGCATACAAATTGGTCTGGAGAGACCCTGGCTAATAAAAAATATTCTCTGTTTCCATAAAAAATTAACTTAGGCAAACAAAATCCTACTAAATTAAACTGTTTTAATAAGGTGTATTTATTTAAATATATATACTTTTAAATAAGATTTAAAATTATATATCTATTAATTTATGTAGTTTGAGAATAAAATTATTTACCTTCTTTTTATTTTTCTTTTTAAATGAGAAATAAAGTTTTATTGATATTTGGAAACAATAAGAGTTACAAAACCAACTCTCATAGGGTAATATGTCAAAGGAATTACACTTATAAATTGCATAAAAATTAAAAATCAAATAATCTAATGCTAACATGAATATCACAATTAGACCCAAACTCAAGATTTAACAATTAAACCACATTCTAACATAATCCACCTAGATAGAAGATAAAATGGTTAGAGTAGCAAAATTTAGTTAAGGACTTTGGTCCCTAATCTTGCCTTCAACAACTAAAGCAAGCATGATAGTTGATCTGAGTTTAACTAATATCACATTCAAGTTGCCATCCTCCTTTGACAAGAGCAAATTATGATAAAATGTATTAAGAAAATCAAGGTAAAACTCTAAAAAAAAAGAGAGGTAAACACCACAAGGGAGGCAAAAACCCTCACAAGAGAAGGAAAAACCCTCACAAGAGAGGAAAAAATGCTCATTTTTAGCCATCTACCCTAATCACCAAGGGAGAGAGAGGCAACATTGGTTAGGAGAAAAATAAAACAAGAGAAAAAAGAAAAAATCAGGATGAAAGAAGGGAGGGGTAGCTCTTATACCAAGGGATTAAGAATTATTTACTTTCTTAATCCATTAATAATAGTTATTTTTTATTCAAAATTTGTTTCAAACTAATTATTGTTTTCTGCATTTAAGGGACGATAAATAATTTTTCTTACATTAATACATTGTTATCCTTTTATTTTAAGGTGCTCACTCCCAGTTTACCCCACCCCTCCAAAAAAAAGAAAAAGAAAAAAAAAAGAGTACTCACTCCATTAATTGTCATTTTTATATTTAAAAGAGAAATACTTTTTCTTCCTACACCTAATATAACTAGGACTGGCAATTTTTTACCCAGCCCGTTAACTTGCCCATTACCCGCCTGTTTAAAACGGGTTAGGGTCATATATTTATAATCCATGACCCGTTAATGACTCATTAAGAGAACCCAATGGGTCACGAGTCAATAACAACTTGACCCGTTTACCCGTCTAAAAATTTAGAATTTTTTAATTTATTATTTATTTATTTTGTTTTCCAATTCTTAATCCCACCTAAACCTTTAATAAGTGACTAATTTTCCCTAATTAACTAATTGATTATCTTAACTCATCATCTTCTAGAAATAAAAATAATCCCAGTCCACTCATAACTCACCTCCCGACCTTTCCTATTTTTGCTTGCCCTAATACTCTCGAAGACTCTAACTCTTCAAACTTCAAACTCTTCTCATATTCTTCAACCTCCATAGTCCATACAGCCTTCGACTTTCAAGTTTCGACTCCACCTTTTCTCTTTAGTCTTTAACATTATTTCAGACTTAGATCTTAGTCTTATTGAGTCACCATTGCATCCACTCAGCCCTTTCTATTTTTCTCCAATGAGTTTGGCAAGTGCTCTTTTTGTCACCAACTTTTCTCTCTAAAGACCTCAAGGTAAGTTGTTTACTTATTTATGCTTTTTAGTTATCTTTCCATTCCAAGTAAAAAGTTTACTTGATTTTCTCCTTTACTTACTTAGATGCATTCAATTGATTATTCTTTGAAAGCAATGACCAAAACAAATATGTTCCAATGGGGTTTGTAATTTTGGTTGTCATGCTACTATTGCTTCTTTTTTTTTTTATTGAGATTTATAAATGTAGTGTTCTTGAATTCGATTAGTGCTATTGTTCGAAGGGAAAGAAAGAAGGTGATTCTAAGGAACTATAAATATGTATATATGAAATTAATGGGAAAAAATTATTTTTATAAGATGTTGAATTTCTTTTTTAAATCTTTTGAATGATTTTTTTTAATGATAATAGGTACAAATTATAGAGAAAAAAAAAA